ATGCAACGCAACGCGTAAAAAGACAGTGTAAGTCATTATAATCCGTAATTATGTCCCCATTGGATGCAACAAATGCCTCGTTTATAATGAGTTTTCATGTTTTTGAATCATCGCACCGGCCGAACAGGGCATCATCACAATATGGTGAGGGGCGTAACATTTCCGTCACACGCTTGAGGTATTCGGTCAATCACAACGCACTGGATAGCTGGTCAATCAGAGCACACCTCGCTTTTCAGACCGATTAGTTTTGTAAAAATCGACGCGTTTCAGAAAGGCGGGGTTATAGAGGAGAAACAATAATGTACATATGTGGAAAATAATGTGTTTTTTTAACCTTAAACCGCATAAACACATTTCATTACACCAAATACACAAAATAATGTTCTTTTTAGCAGCATCATATGACCCCTTTAACACTATTGGTTACATTTAAGAAAGGTTTTAGTTTAGGTGATATGTTATTTTTAATGTGATAGAGCATTCAGTGCCCTTACTGGATATATAATTTCCGATCTGCTGCAATACAACAACCAACGTAATAATATGTTGCCACATTCATGATCATCTGTTTTGGATAAAACTGCTTTTAGTGCCACTCATTGGCCATTTTACTTCGGAAGTGACATGAAAAGTGCATGAAACAACATATTATTTTGCAGAAAGGTCACCACTGACATGATATTTTCCCCCAGTGAGCCTGGGTTGGACAAAACCTTCTTTTGAATATGTCCTCATTTTTAAAAATGATATAAAAATAAAGTATTTATTAGTTTTTTTATTGTAAAAGTGTAGAAGGTTTTCTGTTTAGGTTTAGGTGTGGGTTAGGGTTAGATTATAGTATTTATAACTAGATGTATAAAAACAATAGAAGTCTATAGAATGCCCCATTTAGCCATGCATGAGTGTTTATTTCAGTAAAGTTTTCATCACTTCAAGACAGAAATAATGTTTTCTGAAAAAAGCATTTTCCTTTAGTTTTCAGAAAGATTTAAGAAATGCATCGGTATTTTGCTATGACCTACACAGTATGTTCTACTGCTATTTCAGTGAACTTTGTAAACGCATGTAAAAACAAATCTTGATTTCTAATCTAAACAAGGCCTCTGTGGGGGTGATTAATCGCTAGGCTAATTGCTGGTTGGTTACTAATGAGAAGACAGTGCTGGTGTTACAGTGTGTGTAATTGTGACCTCGGGGACCCTGATATCCTCCTGCTCTGTCTAGAGTTAATGTGATATGTCTGTGAAATCGAATGCTGTCTTATTTGTCAAGCTCCATCTGTCTACAATGCCAGTGTGCCACGGTGTGAGAAGATTTCTGAATAGATGTTCTGGTCCACAAACATATATAAGTGTACTTGAAGTTTAGATGGACAATACACAAACATATCTGTGACGAGTAGGGCGGGGCCGAGAGCCGTGGGAGCGGAGGGAGGCCGGTGGAGTGAATGATAATGAGCGACACCTGTGCCACTCATCGGTCTCGAAGCCCACGAAGGAGCTCCGGAAGGATAAAAGGAGAAGTAACGACAGTAAAGGACGAGAGAGGACCAGGCCTGGATTTTATGTTGTTTTGTTTCTGTTTGTGCGCGGCAGTCGTCCGTGAGGGGCTGTCGCGCTATTTTCAGTTTTGTTTATTTTATTATTAAAGTTTTGTGTTTAAATGTTCGCCGGTTCCCACCTCCTTCTTCCCGATCTATGAACTTTGTTACAATATCATTTATTGTACCTATAAAGCATTTTCGCATTACCACTAAAACAGATGCTTTAGTAAAATGTGGGCCATAAATGTTTATGCATGAAAGCTTGACCATATGAAACATCTGTGTGCCATTTTGTCGTCTGAGTTTTGAATGAATGTGTTTGCATGAGAGAAAGAGAGTGCGCATGTGAAAAACCCTGTCATTCGGACACAGGATAGCAGATGGTCTTGTTTCTTAATCATGGTCATGGTGCTTAAGCTCTAAATCCTCAGTGGAACAATGCAACCAGGCTTTAGCTTTAGGCTTTGCCTGACCACCTCAAACACCCGCCTTTAGTTACTGACACATTGTCCCAATTCCCTGAGTGGTCACCCCGACCTCGTCTTCTTCAGCCATTATTGGGGATTTTCAGCCATAAGTATCAATGCTTTATTGCTAAGTAGAGTGATTCCAAAGCCGATTATGGAAATGATTAGTGAAAAACATTCATAAAGGTTTAACTACCTTGCAATTACTGTGTGCTTTCAACGTCTGGAAGATTCCTTAGTGTTTTGTCTGCCAAATTAAACGCTCGTGATGAAATTTCTAATACATGACCTTGCATAATTGAATAATAGGCTCATAATCATGTGGATCATTCAGTTGTTCATTCATTTCGTCATCAGCATTGAAAACTGTCCAGACTGTTTCATCTGTATATTTTATATATGTAGACATTCAAATCATCTAATAATCTGACATTGCATGGTGTATAGTTTAAGATGACTGTTGTTGTTAGATGTTTTATATACTTGTACATTAGCCTAATGTGACATTCACAAGTTACAGAATTCAAACTTTAATTTACTTTTGTGCAACTTTAGAGGTCCCTAAAGTTAAGTCAGGAAATTCAATTCAATTTTATTTTTTGTAATTACTGTCGTAATTACAGTGGATAACTGCTCACGTGCATTTGATGTTGCCATAAAGCAATTTTGTACCCGCTCACTAAACTCCAAGAACATAGCCTACTACAAGAGCAGACATTTACGGGCAAGCATGGGAAAGAAACAGAAGCCATTCGCCTTATTCTTCATTCGTCAGTGTATTATCAGAACATGATTTTGAAACTGGCTGTAGCAAAGTTCGTAGGTCGGGAAGGAGGAGGCGGGAACCGGCGAACACTCAATGAAATCTTTAATAAAATAAATAAACAAACACAAAATAGCGCGACAGCCCCTCGCGGACGACTGTCGCGCACAAACAAAACCAAAACACAAAATAAACTCCAGGCCTGGTCCTCTCTCGTCTTTCACTGTCGTCCCTCCTCCTTTTTATCCTTCCGGAGCTCCTCCGTGAGACTCGAGACCGGTGAGTGGCGCAGGTGTCGCGCATTAACAATAACTCCACCGGCCTCGCTCCGTTCCCACGGCTCTCGGCCCCGCCCCTCTCGTCACACTGGCATTTCAAGGTAAAAACTTACATACAGTTGCTGTAATAGTAGGTAATGTACTGGCCAACAACCACCATACAAATAAGAGATTCAGTATATAGTAATGTGTGAAAACAACAATAAATTTGTCATAAAAATTAACTTGAGATAAGATGAGGTAAACTAAACACTGCAGTACTTGGGGTTAAATAATTTAAACAATTAGGAGAATCAGTGTAATTAAACTGTCAGCTTGACATCTGGAATCAACAGAGTATGGAAACTGACATCCTATTCATATCATGTGTTGCATTGTTGTCTTTTTGACCACTCTGTGTGTAAGTACAGTATATTCAACAAAGTGTCCGTTTCTGCCAAGTTGATTTATAAAAGCTCTGGGAAAAACTGTGACAAGACCAGCACTGCTCATCACATGACTTTACATTGTGAATCAGGGCTAGCTGTCACTTGGGGAAGTGTGTCACAAGGACAGTCTCAGCAAAGGTTTTGAGTCGAAAGTCAAAACTTGTTTTTTCTAGTGTTGGTTTTAAACGTCCGTTTCAAATCAATATATTTTTACTATTGATTTATTTTCTTTCTTTCTTTTTTAAATATCTTTTTTTTCTAGTTCTGATTAGTTTTCTAGGTAACAAGTGAACACAACAACACACACACTGACATATAGCCTATTTAGGTAAAGTCAATCGTATTTTAACCAAAAATCTGAACCGTCTTCTCAAGACAAGTATTTTCAGGATGGGGAGTTGTCACATAATATAATATAATATAATATAATATAATATGTTTTTTGTTGACTCAAATTTTTGGTTTTACACATTTAGTTTTTTATAATTGTTATAATTTTTATATCAAATGTGTGTTAAATGAACTAAATTATCTCTTTTCCTGAGCAATAATGGGGGAAATGTTCAAGTAAGAGCTTTTTTTTTTTTTTTGCAGCCAATGCCTAAATGTATCCACCTATAATATAATCGACTTTCAGAAACCACCCACCCTAAAAAAAAAAAAAGTGACAACTTACCCCAATTTCCAGCCTAAATGACTCATGCAGGAATGGACAAATGTTCTATTTGAACCAATGCCTGGAGACGAACATAAAATAAATGCAGTAAATTGAGCATTCATCCTTTCATCCAGTGACTTAATCACACGCATCCCACGTCTCAGTGTTTATAAGCGCTCTTGTATTGGAGATCCTCCTCTGCTTTGACAGGCACAGTGAACGCTCAGCGTCTAGAAACGAAAGCGCGAGCCTGGTACGCGTGAAAACCGCCTGCATCTTGCCAAAACGACACCGAAACCGAATCCCAGCATCTTTTTTAATGTGGTTGGAGAGCTCGTTTCTGCACGGACTCCGTTCGACGGCTCTGCTCCACCTCATGGGTTATACACACAAAAACACAAAGGCACAACACTCGTGTTCTTGATCACGAGTTTAAGCTGCTGCTTTTTTGTGCCTCTTTTGTCTCCCACGTGCAAGAAAGTGGATCCGTATTTGAGGTGAGGGTGTGATTCTCAGATGCTTGTTCCTGCTGTTGTTCTATTGTTTACACTGTTGCCTTTATTTGTGATATTAGAGTGTTCTGTTTTGATACGTGAGTGTGTGTTTACATCTCCGGATATTCTCAGTTGGGATGCTGAGGGGCTGTTCATCAGGATTATTCAGGGATGTCTGATTAAGTTGCTCTGCTCGTTTCTGCACGGACTCCGTGTACCAGTTCAGACTAGACTGAGAGCAGCGGTGTTGAAGGACAGAAGCGGAGAGGGTTTCTATAGCGGGACAGAAGATGCTGCTGCTGCTTCTTCATTGACGGCTCTGCTCCACCTCATGGGTTATACACACAAAAACACAAAGGCACAACACTCGTGTTCTTGATCACGAGTTTAAAACGGGTTCTTTTTGTGCCTCTTTTGTCTCCCACGTGCAAGAAAGTGGATCCGTATTTGAGGTGAGGGTGTGATTCTCAGATGCTTGTTCCTGCTGTTGTTCTATTGTTTACACTGTTGCCTTTATTTGTGATATTAGAGTGTTCTGTTTTGATACGTGAGTGTGTGTTTACATCTCCGGATATTCTCAGTTGGGATGCTGAGGGGCTGTTCATCAGGATTATTCAGGGATGTCTGATTCAGTTGCTCTACTAGATTTGATACCAACGCGCATAACAGCGGGTTTTATTTACAACAAACACCATATATTAAGAAAAAGTACCATGAACGAGATTTTTCTACAATTCTGTCTCCGTTTGTACAGCAGCGTTAGTCTTTGTAAGCAAGTGTTAGTTTTGAATCAAAAGTGTTAAATCATAATGGAAAAGCAGGGATGACGGGGATTTCAAGTAGCAGACTAAAGAAGACCAGTTGACAGCCGTTGTAAATAGAACGAGTTTAAATGAATTTATCTGTAAATTCGGTGTTTTCTCTTATCAACGGAAACGTAGTTGTTGGTTTTGCCAGCCGCAAGTAAAGGGCTTTTCGAAAGTCGGAGCTTCGGTGTTTTGGCGTTTTACGATCACTCGGAGCGGGTTTCCTACGCGGGACATGGAAAACTCGGGGTGGAGCTGGAACCGGATGGTTACAGAGAAGGGAGAGAAAATCTCTGTAGATTGAAATAGAGACTGGCTTTAAGTTTGTGTGGGGTTTGTTGACACAAAAGGGCCAAATTCTTAATGTGCATTCTTATGCAATCTTGTGTTTTCATACAACGCCATCGAAGTTCAATTCCAATATTCAAGAACACGAGTTCAAATTCAGAGGATGCATGAAAGTAGACTACCCTAATATGTTCTTGATATTAAGGATGCAATGAATGCAGACTTGAGAGAATCAAACCATTAGAAATCCCAGAACTCAGTGCGGGCAGATGACGTACGGAAGCCTAAGCTTTAAACTTCTAGCTTTAAACTTCTCACTCCAAGTTCGTAAATACGTGGTGGCTTGTAAAAGTAAACATTTGTCATTTTGTTTGGTGTAATTTTAATAAAGTGATAAAGACCTGGAGAAATCCTGCAGTTTTTATTGGCATTTTAAGAAGAATCTTAACACTTACAAAGCATACGTAATATTACTCTACATGTACACAGGCCTACTCATTTACGTGAATACATGCAGTAAAATAAAAAGATCACATGGTCAGTCTGACAAAGATGTGTTCTGTGGCCTTGTGTCCTTCCGAATTCTTTCAAGGTAGCCTTCCAAGACCGATCTCCAGAAGAAGGCAAGTTTGTTTTATGCAAAACAGCCAAGATGCACACCAAATAACTGGCCAATGTATCTCTGAAATGTATGTTAATCAATATAGATATATTATTATTTACCGATTACTTAATATCAGTTTTTAATTATTGAACTGTTGCATAAAAACAATGAAAGTTTGCTTAAGTAAATGGATTTGAATCATTTACTTAAAACAACCATTAAAACATTACATGCTTGAATAGGTAAATTACTGTTATGGGGGTAATTACACTTTTCATACAAATTTGTCTAATTCTAGTGTATTTATTGCCTTAGGAATTAATCTGATGCACCAGAAATATTTATCTGTCAGATTTAGCTTTTAAGCTGTTGCATGCACTCAGTATTCAGTTGTACTGGCTTTCAGTTTGACTTACTGATCCATGCAAAATGTTTGTTTAAAGTGCAGTTATCCTTGCAAGAAAATGACGATGATGATAGTAGAAAGAAGTAAGGATTTGTTAAACCCTGTTTTGCTTGTTTGAAGTCTTCATTGCTCGGCCAACAACTGCAGACTGAAGTGCTGTTAGCTGGCAAGGCAGTGAGCCCTGGGAAATACCACCATCCATCTCCACATAACGACATTATATTTCTATCTTTGTTTTCTCTGTAGTAAATTGGTGTGTGTGTGTTTTAAATATGACCACATTAGACTGTTTGTGTTTTGAATAATTTGTTTCCCCCTTCCATCCTGTCACATTTATTTCACACATTATCTGCACCATGTATTGTTGTCAATATATATCACATTCCGACACAACTAATAAGAAGATCTGTATTCCTGACATATAAAATATTTACATATCTTGTGCCTAAACATAATAAAAAAGCCGTCCGGTTCAGCACTATTAAGGTCATTTCTCAAATAGAATTGTAGAAATGTCAAACAAGTCTGATACATTCTTATCATGGCATTTTTATGGTGTTCCACAAGGAGCTGTTATGGGTTCAATTTTGTTCTCATTGTAGTTTTTTAACCAGCTAAAATAATTTACTAAAATTAAGTTCCTTCAGTAGTTAATCTAGATGAAATAATCACATTTCCTTGTAATTATTATCACTGTTCACATTAGAGCCAAGATATTCCTTATTAATAATAATATTATTTTCTAGGCCCTAATCATCGCAACCTTAGTAACTTTAGTTTTCAATAATTTTTTTGTTTTCGTTTTTAGAATTGGAAGATCCCTAAATTGATTTATGTGAGGCTAATTCATACAAAAAATCTTTTTGTCTCTTAATGTGCACATTGCTCTAAGGATTTTGAAAAGGCAACTACTGTGTTATATTATGACAGAATAGACCACTGATGCAAAAACTAAAGATCTCACAAAAGTCCAAAAGAATGAGTGTATATATATGAGAGAGATTATATGTGATTAAATTTGCCCTCATAATGCTACTTGGCTTTTCTCCTATTCTGAGGCTTTCCTCATAATTTCTTGCCCTGTTGAGACAATCATGTTTGCTTCCATCATCTCATGAACAATCAATCAGACCTTGGTTGAACAGATGGACCCTCAGTGACACAGGATAAAGGGTTTGCCTGATGAATTTCATACCCAAATAACACATTCACTGCTTGGCTTGCAGGAATGTGTGTGTTTTTATGTGTGAGTGGGGGATTGCCATCCTACTCAACTGAATGTGTGTTGTGACTGTGAGCATGTGCGTTTGTTACGAGGTCTGTGTATTTGTAACAGGCTTGGTGAATTTTAATGTGTTGCTTTCCTAAGCAGATACCCAAGGGATTTTCTTGTAGTTTGTACTGTGTGCTATGATTTCTCATGTAAAATTGTTGGTACAGAACCTACACAGTACCTCATCTTTTAGACCCCAGCGCATGGCAGTTGTCATCAATCTCCCTGGTTGTTCGTTTACTTTGGCTAATGAAAACCATACATTTCATTACTTTGGTCCATTGTTGGAAAGTTTATCTAGAATACTGAATAAACCTCTTTATTCTTCAAATATGGATTAGTTTCTTGTTTATTTCGTGGTAGGGATTTAAGAAGGACACAAAGAAATTGTCAGTTTCATGCCTCAGAGAGTCTTTATTTGGCAAAAAATACAAATATAAAGGTAGAAAGTCTCTTGAGAGTGGCTGTAAAGCTCACACAGAAGTTGGGTATGATGACCTCCGTGTACAAGACAGAGGCGGACAGTAACTAAGTACATTTACTTGAGTATTGTACTTAAGTACACTTTTTGAGTATCTGTACTTTACTTGAGTATTATTTTTTCTGGAAACTTATGACTAACTTCACTACATTTGAAAGACAAATATTGTACTTTGACATAATGGTTGTGCTGTTGGTCCAGAGGAGCAGGGCCAGGTGGTCATTGGTTAAGTGGCTTTCCAGTTATGTTGTGCTTTTTTGGACCTCAAGGACAAGCTCTTCCTACACAGAATTAGCATGATATACACACTGCTTTGCGCCCAACAGGCTTTAAAATAGGGTTTTAAAATAGAGGCGGCACACTAATTGTATTGGTCTGGGATCGGGTAGGTTTAGGGCCTTGTCAAGTCGGGGCACCTTCTACCACTGGGCCAGAACTGGTGCAGAGATTGAGATGGAGGGGTTTTGGCAGTGGTGACAAGGTGCAATAAGCAGCAGGTGCGTCTCATTACTCTCTGCCAGCAGCACTCATGCACCTCCTCATTGCCACCGACTCCTATTGTGAGCTTGGCCATGGGCTGATGAGAGGAGGGTCAGGATCAGGGCTCTGAACCGGTTCAAGGAACGAACGAAATTTTGACAGGAACAGAACAAGAAACAGAAACAAAATCTAATTTTATAGTTCCGAACAGAATCGAAAATTTGAAATGGCCATTAACCAGTTAATAATGTTATTTTATCGTTCCATTTAATATTTGAAATTTGCTGTCAACCAATCTCCTTACGCGCACACACAACATATTTTTGCTACGTTGCAGCCTGTTCAATATCAAAATAAAATACAGTTAAAGAAACAAATAAAAAAGTTACACTGCTCCGTTGTACAAAATTTGTTGCGTTCAGCGTGACCGTTGCCTCACTGTGCTGATATAGCCGATGTGAAGGATGATGTTTTACGTCGTTGAAAGTAGGCTACAAAGCCTATATAATAAATAATATTTTAGCATCCAGATACGTCGCGAATATGGAAACATAGAGGTAGGCATCAGTTTCACCTTAAATTAATTTGCTGATTGACGTTTTTATAGCCTAAACTTTAGAGGATTTGTTTTGGAGAGAAACTAATAACTGTGTTTATAATGTTTGTAAACATTTTGCTTTAGCCTACAGGCATTTTAGCCTTCATTATTTTGGAATTTAGGCTAATAGGGCTAATAAAATGCGGCGTGAGCTGCGACTTGTTTTTTTCACCCTCAAAACCCAATCTTATACAAGTGTTGTTGTTTTTTTACAATTCAGCAAACATTTTTAAATATCTTAAAAATACTTTAATTGCTTTAAAGTGTTGATAGATTTTTTCCAGTGGTGGACGAAGTAAACCAATGAAGTACTTGAGTAAAAGTACAGATCCGTATAATAAAATATTACTCCAGTAAAAGTAAAAGTGCTCAGTTTTCAATTTTACTCGAGTTAAAGTACAAAAGTACTTGATTTTTTTATGTACTTAAGTAAAATGTACCGACAGATGAATGTTTATTTTGCAGTTTTACATAGGCTACTTTTATATTAGCATATATATTTTTTTATAATCCTAC